TATTAACCACCTTTTTTCCCATATACCCGGTTAAGAAAAAAAGCTACACATCAAGTCAATGTTACATTGCATGTAACTTCTTCAACTGTTCACATAAAACACCCTTTCGTGGTCCGCAATCAAGATCCACAAGAAACCACCAGGAAATCGAACTTGACGCTTAAGTTATAGCGTCCCAAACAAGACGTTTAATGGCCCTAATCAATTGACAAGAGTGAGGAATTCGACGCCGGTGGAAGAATCGTCGACCGTAAGCTCGTCTGAACCTGAAGCTGTGTATAAACAGAACCCCCAAACTCTAAATCAAAAGCATACACGCTGGAATGGCTGTACGCCAATCGGAAGCGTTGCCTCCAGGTGCGGCAGTACAACCACGTCTGAATGATTTCATCCTTCCCAGGAACGCCTTGCTTGAGCTCGTAAGCCGACAATTGTACAGACACCTTTAGAGAAGCGACCTCTTCAACCAAAGATGCCAGAGAGCACCAGTAGGCGTCCTTCCTCGTACAATGACCAGCTAGACCATTGCTGCCTTCGGGTTCACTTTCCACCACTTCAGCTTTTTGTCTTGCTTGTTCATCAAAACTTTCAACCCTTCTGCCTGGGTCATCGTGACTACCCTTATTACCACATAGAGCTGACCTACATTGCAACTCTACCCTCTGTTCTTCAACACGTGTTTCTGCATTTTGCTCCAGTTTTCTTATGAAAGCATTATGTACAATTTCTCGAGAACTCAAGCCTTCTCTGTGTATGGGCGAGTTATATTCATCGTGAAAAGCTGCGTACGTAACGCCTGTTGCTACATCCAGTGGCCCAAAACAATAGGCAGAAACTAGATCGGAGCTTTCATTACAGCATTTGCCGGCGTTAGCTAGGAGACCTTCTCCTGCTCCTTCAATGGAGCTCTTCAGAGACAATCCAACCTCTGCATGAAGTGTGCTTGACTTCTCGCAGGTTTCAACAAATCCTTTACTTTGAATGGAACATTCTTGTTCCATGCTCACGAAGCATGCCTGTGCTTCAATAAGCTCCTCGAGTCTCCTAGTTTCTTGGCTACCCACCTCTCTGTCATACTCTTCCCTAGTTTCTCTAGCGAAAGGTCATGACGAGGTACAGGGTCAGCCTGACATAAATTCAAATCGTTTGTGATGTAACTACTGTCAGAGCACACCTGAGCCACTGGCTCACTCCTCTGTATCCCCAGTTTCGCCCTTTTTGCCATCGCAAGCTCGAGTCGCCGCTCGAGTTCTATATAACGTCTCTAATTCGAGCTTTTCTTTCGCCGCCTTTCGCTCTGCAGCCCGTTGCTCACGCTCTCTCTCCATCGGCTCCTCATACCGCAGTCTGAACTCCAATCCCTTCAAACCCATGTGTTCAGCCAATTCTAATATCTCCCGCATGCTGGTCATGGTTCACACTGCCTCCGACAATCTAGATGAAAAACAAACGACTTTGCCCTGTCGCAGTGAACGCCAATTTGTGATGCAGGTTTACGGTTTAATAAATTGTTGCTCAAAGAGAAAGCCTCAGAGCTGGGAAATGACGAAGCCTATTAAAGTAAGAAAAGTAGACACTTCAATCATAATTAAGAGGGGAAAAAAAAGATTGAGTTGCAATGTACATACACCGAGTCTAAGCAGACAAACTGAAACTTGTCCTAAAGGTTGTCCAGCTAGAATGTTCACAAAAATCAACAGTCACCGGTGGCGTTGATGGTGGCGGTGGCTTGGTGGGTTGAGGCGGCGGACGCTGGCGATGTCTCAGCAGGCGGAGTCACGCGCTGACCAGCACAGCGACGCTTGGCGGTGGACGAGGTAGCCCTTGCCTTAGTAAGAACTGCGGCCGCTTGCCGATGCTGGCTCGTTTCGAGGAGATGATCACCACGCGGAAGGTTCCACCCTCCACGGGTGGTTCGGGATTGGAGTCGAAGCCTGGACACCTGGGACGTGACGTTGAACAGTAATGGCCGGAACTCTGGAAGGCCGCGTACCTCCGAGTACACCATGGGCAGCTGGAGCGTCCTGGCCTTGCCTGACTTCACGCGGTCGGGTCCGGGACCCGACACCGCAGTCGCGCGACACCCAGGATCTGCACTCCAGCCAGCTCGATCTCGTTCTGCCCCCGACTGGTCTTCCTCTTCTTCCCTCTCGTGCATTGGCAGCGCAACTTTTCGCGCCAACTTCCTCTTCCTTTTGGCGGGCCGCAGTTTCATGCGTGACGTTTCGGGCCAACGTCATCGTCTATCCGCCGCTCAATCGAGAAGCACCGCTGCCGTCGCCTCCGAGCACGTTGTACATAACACCACGGTGCCACCACACTTCACAAACACCACCACGTCACTATACTACACCACAGTCACAAAGAAAAGCTAATGCTTGTGCGCCCCCCCCCCCCCCATCTGGTATGTGTGAACCCCCTCCTCGAAAAAATATCTGGCTACACACTTGCTCACGTGTCATGTTACTCTATACCCGTGTTCCAATTGACAGTGTACAAGACTATGCAGGGGTGCTGTGCAGAATGGCCCGAGCTTGGCGGAACTTGGGATCTTCCCGAGTTCTGGCCACACTTCCGTTTGAATGAGCCAACAGTATGATAAGGCCAAATACACCACTCGGCGCGCTGCGTTTTATTGGTTACAACGGAAGCTGGCATCGCGTCAAGGACAATCAATGAAGTTGGGTGGTGTTTTAAAACCAGAGGCATCGTCTTTCATTTGTTTGTCATTCCACCGAGTGCAGAAGTGCACCAATGCAACGAAAGTTTCAAAAACATTTGCTGATGATTTAAAAGTGCAGGTTGTGCCAATTCATTTTAAACACTTAAACGCTTCCTGTATTGACCCTCAATAGAGGGTTGACAGTATATCTAAATAAATAATTGAACAATTCATCAGAACAGAGAAAAACATCGTTTGACTCATTCTTACCCACCGCGGTAGTCTAGTGGCTAAGGTACTCGGCTGCTGACCCGCAGGTCGCGGGATCGAATCCCGGCTGCAGCGGCTCTATTTTTGATGGAGGTGAAAATACGCCTGTGTGCTTATATTTAGGTACACGGTAAACAACCCCAAGTGGTCGAATTTCCGGAGCCCTCCCCTACGGCGTCCCTCATAATCATATGGTGGCTTTTAGGACGTACCCCAACAAATGTTACATTATATTAGTCTGGCTCACTCCAGGTCACCAACATTCATTTGGCCGCCTCGTCATTGAGTGTGTAGGTATATTTATAAAGTCTGGCTAGAAATAGCCAGGCACCCTGTATACACGTGGCACATGCGCGCGAACATTATAGAAGCCGACAGCACAAACTATCGAGACATACTTTTTTTTCGTCTTTCGTTGTTTGTTGTTACAGCCTTGAGCCGACAAGATGAATTCCACCAGGAAACAAAGATAGCGAAGGTGCGCCTACAAAGCAGCGCGCATTTTTTTATATAAAAAGAGCATCTAACACTTCCCGTGCTGTCTTTCTTATGCTTCTGCCTAGAACCTTTGTCTTGGAGAACCATGCGTCGCTGCCACACAATATAGCACACGCCACAAGGTGTGCACACTTGTCTCTTTCAGTTCATTTTTGGGCATGTTGCCTTAACCGGTCAATGCATCTTTCGGTTTCACTGATCAACAGCCACCCTTTTTTTTAACCTGAATGCGCGAGCGCATTTATTGGTCCGTAACTTCCCACCGAGCTCCCCGGCATGGCGAGATCGAGTTGAGATCAAGTGGGCCCCCCAATGACATAACGCACTACAGCTGGACGCACTATGCATCTTCCCCCACCACCGTTCTCGCGAAAGGAAGATGTGGCACTCGATGACTGTTGGCACTACCGCATGATTGTTGCCGTGAAACAGCAGCCGATCACGTGTCATGGGCCGCCAGCAATGATAACACTAAAAGAAAATGCTCTGAAAACAAAAGTAAAGGATGCGCATCCAAATGCTCAGCAAATTAACACCATCTGGATGCAATAAAAACATGGCCTGTGCATCACGGCAGGCTACATCACAGCCGATATCTTTGTAGCTGCATAGCCTGATTGGTTGTGGCTGTGCGCGTCGATGTGAGGTTATGTCACCGCTAGTAGCCAGAAACATGCTATAAGCTACATTTTGCAGCAACAATATCGAGGCGAGAGTGTCAACAGCAAGGGGAAGTGCGCGGCCCTTTCCACTTTGTTTCTGAAACCAACCGCTGCGAATCGGGCGATGTGGGCTTCGTGCTGGCGTGTTCGAGATCCTATTGCTCACGCAAGTACGTACAGTTGCGCCGCGTTTTGTCAAACATTTTTCACGAGGAATTACATGCACATCTAACATGGTTTCTGCCGCAATTTCTATTGTAATGCATTGCGTGCCAAAGCCACGTGATTGAGCATGCCGTGGTGGTTTTCTTGCACTGATTATCAATTGTATCGGCGTAGCCAAGAAAGCTGCTCCCCCCCCCCCCCTCCTCAGGAATTTTCCAGTATGCTTGTAAACGGATTGATGAAATGTGAAGCATGTAAACTGATGCACGAACATAAAGTATGGTAGAACTAAAGCGAAATAAATTTCTCGCTACGCTCCTAGTTCTTTAGGTAGTTCCAGAATAAGTTGCACGAAGCTTTGCGTTAACGTTTGCTGTTGCGGTGCATACATCGTACGCTATCCACATCGATACGCTAAGTGACATATGGGACAAAACGCTGCATTATGCGTACCCTGTTCTAAACTGCATATTTGACGTTCGAAGTTACGTCGGGTATGGAACGCGAAGCCGCCGTAATAAAATGGGCAATAATGACGAAAATGAACGCATAAGGAATATCTTGCGCTTTATTTAGCAAACAACTACAGCTTGTTGTTCCCCGAGGAAAGAAGGAAAAAAAAAAATCAGGGACGCCGAACGCGCCTATAGGCTTTCACTTGCCTAGAAGTGCAACGTCGGACTCAAATGCCACGCTGTACCCGTAGCCAGTTGGCCTTGAATCCTGGTGAACTGTTCGCGCACCATAGTGACCATGTCCCGTAGCTTGGCGCCCTCTTCCGGTCCAGCCGATGCCACAGCCGTCTCGAACTTCTCGCACGCGGCGCTCAAGTTGTCAAGCGCGGAACGAGCGTACGAGGAGCGAAGAAACACTCCCCGTCTGCCAGCGCACGTGGGATGATGATTCCGCATGTCCTTGTGGGCAAGCGTGTCTCCGCACTTATGACACACCGTCGAGTACAGGGCGCAGCTCTCCCGCAGGTGTTCGTCCAACTGTTTCAGAGGTCCAAGAAAGTCGCAGCCATTGTCAGCGTACACGCAACGTACGCGCTTGTCGCCAGTGCCATGTGCTCTTAAAGAAGTACAGAGTCGTTCACATTCGCAGCATTTAGCATAGTATCCACTATTCCAAATCGAATACCGGTCTTTGCACACGTCACATAAAATGTGCCGACAAGACAGTCGATACATTTGTAAACTCACTATGCCGCACCAGCTGCACAACTGCGAGCACTCGAGCTTGTCCACAAATTCCACCGCCTTCATTTGAACGTGACTTCCGAATCCATGTACCATGTACGTCCACCGCTCCATCGAACCAGCCATCTTTGCCGAACAGCAAGCCGCTTCGCCGGGATTGAGCTGAACGCGTACTCTGCTCCAAAGGTCCAACACACGCGCGGCAGCCCGCAACAACTGTTTTACGATACCTTTGACTCACAATAATCCAACGAATTCAAGTGGTTCGGTCTGCGCTGAGGTGATGCAGGGCTGTTATATCACAGAACAACTGTGTCGGAGACAATAGCGGCGGACACCGACTACAACACGATCAACGTTGCAAAACTCCCCGCGTCAGACTACTCGGCACACAGCGCCGGGACAGCTTCCGGTTTGGTGGCGCTGGCGGCGCAACAAGCTTCCGCTAGCAGACGAAAACGCGTAGTCGTTGTGGCTACTTGAAAATAAATTACAACTATGTGGCACAATCTCGTGGCTTTTGCCTGGTTATGTAAACAGCTTTTTTTTTCATGTCAGTCACATTCTTTAGCAACTTAGACGGTCGAAAAGCTACGCGTGCGGCTATTATCTTAATAATGTCTTCCCTCTGCTTTTTCTTGAGTTCCTCTAATGAAACCTGTTAACACGGCTGCAGCCAGAGCTTCGAGCAGAGACCGCACTTTGGAGTATCGGTGAGCACTTTGTAGTCTTCACTCACGAGTCTGCCTGCTGACGCACTGGGACATTATGAACACACTTTCAGCTTTTCTATATCCCCCAGAAGTTCGGCCAATTGGGTGATGGTATCTGCATTGCCGGGTGACTTCGCCAAGCGATGGTGACGGCTGCTAATGGTGACTGTCATGTATTCTGTGACTACAACGCATTTCTCCATAAATAGCGCTTTTCTTTGAGCACTAGAAACACCACAAGACGACTTGCCTTGCCATTCTAAACAACTTTCAACCAGCACGCAGCTGGCCAACAAACGTTTTCTATGTCTTGAAGCGAAATGACGCCACTAGTTGACGGCATGTCGGGACTTATATCACTGTCTTCGAACTCAGTTCTCGGAGATAGTCTATTCTTTTTCGCCGATGATATTCAGAAAAATACCCCACTCCTATCGCGCAGCTCTCGCTTGTTTGTCGCGGGCCCCGCGAAGAAGGTAAGCGGGCAAATTCGGGAGCATTCGGGGAACGCATCCTTCGACGAGGTCTCACTTTCCTCCACGATTTGTACCTTCTTACCATATGACGTGAGTGAGTCTTCAGAATGTCCTTCTCATGAAAGTGCATATCACACACATGTGAGGTGCTATGCAGTTTCTTATCCACACGAGGAATAGCGTGGTCCCATACCTCTCGCTGCTCAGGTACACGTGGGTACAAAAGAAATGTTGTGGCGTCTCTCATTTCCTGTAGCTACTCTACAGCCGAGAACGCAACATCTGGGCATGATGAAAACACGCAACACATACAAAGCAGAACAGGGCACGCTGAAGCACAAAACTGTTCACGCAGAAAGAAGCTCCCACCGATATCGACGCACTGCAACATGCACAGGCGATGGAGGTTACGGGAATTACACGAGCGAGCATGCAGTGAATGAATCCGGATGCGACAGCAGCGCCACGTTTGTCGCTGGCAGCGACTTTAGCGATACTTAGCATGACCTACTACACTCCTGACCTGCCCAGAGAGCACCTCTTCCAGCGCCCACGTTCTAGTTCATACCTTCTGCCGCTAGGGCCGTCACCTACGAGCGGCGTGGCGCTAGGCAGCACCTGTTCGCTGACGTCACCTTCACTCTTTGTAGTCAAATTTTAACCAACAAGCACTCGTAGTGCGAATTTATGATCCACAATTTAGAAATATCCAGAAATAATAATACTAAAAGACATTCAGAATTTTTTTTGCAATAAAATGCACGCGACAACGCATAGGCTGTCCAAAATCATGTAAATCCACGGGTTTCCACGTTTGTCAACCAGTGTGCTATAAATTCTTAAGCGCACTGAACAGCTTACTTGACCAGCAATGTATGGGAAGAAATAGTCACATATATGCCGACAGTTCACCACAGAAAGCAGGCATTCTTATACCAGCGCCTACAAAACAACCGTAAAGAAGCAGACGAACAGGTTATAGGTAGCGCCACCTACGGCGAGCGATTGAACGAGAGCGGGGACACGCGCTCCCATAGGAACCCCGCTATCTGAACAGGTCAGGAGTGTAGTAGGTCATGATACTTAGCTCGGCCAACGCCTCCTCCAGAAGATGCCTGCCGCATAAGAAAAAAACAGCTGCCACACCCTTTCTCTCCTTTATTTTGAAAATGTTCTCGGTCGCTAGCGTCACCTGTGGCGGACGGTGCAACAACGCAACACTTTGCATAGCCTCCGAAACAGTGGTGCACAGTTGCAGGTCTCGAACAACTCTCGACTGACGCGCCCTTATGGGCCGCAGATGAAAAACGCTTAGCTAATACCGCCCGTCGCCGTGATACTGATTGGATGGATGAATATGGCTGTACCCTTTAGATCGGGCGGTGGCTAGCGCCACCAAGGCGTAATACCTAATGAATCAAAAATTATATTTATTTTTTTTCTTAAAAAGTGAGTTTGAGGATTCGTACTTTGCAGTGAAGAGTTTAATTTTCACTCGTGCCTTGACTTTAGCCACCAATCACATAACCTCCTTCTAGTTAAGTCTACCCGCTTGAAGTCTATTTTGCCCTCGCTGTCCCTAAACCCCAGTGCTTTGAAAAACTCTGCGCCATCATCCTGAACTATAGGGTGAAGCCCTTTACAGAACATTATCAAGTGTTCGGCAGTTTCTTCTTCCTCTCCACACACACTGCATACTGTGTCTACCCCTTCGTATTTGGTCCGATATGTCTTGGTTCGCAGTACTCCCGTCCTGGCCTCAAACAGTAGAGAACTACCCCGAGTATTTGTCATAGATCCTTTCCTTGGCAATTTCCTGCTTAAAAATTCGCTAGATCTCTAGTGCGGACTTCTTAATCATGCCCATTCTCCACATGTCAGTCTCCGTTTCCTTCACTTTCTTCTTAACCGAAAGTTCTTTTTGGTTTGGCCACCTGCTGTTTATTAAGTATTTACCAGTCAACTTCCTGGTTCGCTTCCTCCATTTTGTATCCATTTTGTACTGATATTAGTGTTGGTCACGCGCCACCGCGCGGAGCTTGTTTAAAACTAACGGCAGGCCAACTCCACCGGGAGCGCGAGCCATTCCTCAGGCATCTTTCTAGAGGAGGCGTTGGCTCGGCTGCCGTCCGTGGCTGCCACGGATACAGTGTACTAGAAGAGGGCAGTGGGCTTACTCCACAGCTACTCTGACGCTTTTGGCGTCACATAAGAGAGATGGCGCCACAGGCATCTTCAATGGAAGCTTCACCTGCAGAAGCTGCTCGCCGATGGCTGCTCGTAAAAGTGGAACGTGCATTTATTCTATATTTGTAATAAACTTGCATGCTTTGACTGCCCTCTGATTATATTAAGAGCTTCTGGTGCTCTCGCTTCACAGTGTTTTCCTTTTCTTTTGCGATACAGCTTCCCAAAAATTAGTCCGATGGCAGCCGGTGCAGTCTGTGCATTCTCCTTTCTAGTGCGACGCAGCTAACGCTTTTTGTGTGTGTGTGTGGGGGGGGGGGGGGTTCGGAGGGTGTGTGCTTGAGTTAGTAGAGTATTCCTGATAAGAGCTATATTTGTTCAGGCCACATCGTGTTTCCTCGAATGTAACACCTCGTCGAAAAGGATTATGTATCCCACAAAATATATGTTTTGATACAGTGACCAAACGTACGGTTCATGCTGTGTAGGCCGAACCTAAAAAGAATTCGCAACAAGATTATGCCCACCCTTTTACGACATAAATAGAAAACAGTGCACGTTCACTTCTTAGAAAAGATTTAACATGTAGGCGTGCTGGCTGGGTTTGCGCCTTTATTATAAAGTGAAATTGTGCTTAAATAATTTTTGCTCTGCTTCAGTTGTAGGCCATGGCACAACATTTTTCTGGGGGTTATTAATCATTATAATTATGCAGATACACGTATGTTAGACATATGTAGAGCGACATAGTGAAAAACTAAATAAAGATACACACGAAGCTTCTGCTCCTGACATGAAGCTCTTATTTGCAAGAACTGGAGTACACCATCTAGCCACTGATTTACACACCTTATTCACTTCATGTGTGACGGCTCATCTTCAGCTGCTTGGCCCTCTGCCGTTTCCTTGCCTAATTGTCAGTGTTCAGTCCTTTCAAATTGAAGACGTGTGACAACGTAAAAAGTAATTACTTTCGCTTTGAGGGCAGCAGCGTGCACACTGCAACCAACTTCAATCGAGAGTCTGCGCTGAACAATTTTCAGTATGTCCATAATGCTGTCAGAGTGCAGCTTACTCTGACAAAAACATTCTGTGAAATTATCCTCAAGCTTTTTCATGAAGCTGTACAGCTGACTTGAGGGATGAAGGAGGCCTCCTCGGTTACAAAAGTTGGCCAGCCAAACAAGTTGAAAACAGCCTCGGCGTGGATAATGGGTGAGGTATGCGCACTTTTTTTCCATCGATAATATGCACAGACGCGGTTGCAAGTGGAGTCCGCAAACTGCGCCGGTGTCTTCCAGAAGCTTGTCCGCTGTGTGCTGGTTCTTCTCGAATTCTCTCGGCCTGTTTTCATCCTTCAGGACGAGAAACAATGACAGGTCCTGCTTACTCTTCACGAACACGTTGCCTGTTAGACACCCAAGCGCCTAACAGGGTATTGCCGTGGTCGCGGCATGGTTACAGTAACGCTCAAAGCTGACGGCAAAAACTCGGCGCAACAATGTCCACAGCCACACAACGTGGCTCAAACTCTGTTGCTCTGCAGGACTTGACCGGCTCACAACCGGCTCAGCTGCAACGTCCCTCCCAAAATTCTTTCATTGATGGCGATGCCAGCGCCGCCGCTCGTGCGACCAGGGAACCACAAACGTGCGACATTTCTGGAGCCACCCCTCTGCATAACCTCCGCCGGAGAGTGAGCCCACTGCCCCCTTCTAGTACAATGTACCACGGAGGAAGGAAAGGTTTT